CTCACGTTGAACATTATTCTACCTTAAGTGCACATCTTCTCTGCATTGCCCACTTGCTTCCCATATAAAATCATCTTCCATTCTCCAATTTCTCTTCTCAAAAACAAGTAACAACAATCTTTATCCATGTTCTTTAGCTTAGAGTACCCAATTACAATGGAGAAGATCAGGCCGCTAACCGGCATTAGTGTGGCGCAGCTCCTCTTCCCGACCCTCGTCTTCGCCGACTCGTTATCGTCCTGCCCCATCTTACTCGGTTTCGCAGCCCAAATACGTAGCCTCATTGCCATGCCTCTCTCACTCTTCCAACCACGCCCTAACAAAAAGCCTTCCCCACAGACAACTCTCTTGAGCAGAGAAGATATCAGAACAGTGATGGAAAAATTTGAGTTATTTTGCAGCCAAGAGGGAGAGGAAGAAGAAGTTGGTGAGCTGAGTGCCTTGTTTGAGGAGATTGAGCCAAGCTTGGAAGAGCTCAAAGAAACATTCAATGTGTTTGATAAGAACAAAGATGGGTTCATTGATGTTGAGGAATTGCAGAGAGTGCTGCTTTTGATTGGGTTATGGGATAAAGGGAAATTAGGCATTGAGGAATGCACCCAAATGATTGCTACATTTGATCACAACAAAGATGGCAAAATTGATTTCATTGAGTTTGTAAAGTTAATGGAAATTGCCTTGTGCTGAAACTTATCATTTTTCTTTTGTTTCTACAAAGCTTAGTCCTAAGAGTTGTTTGTCACAATTTTTTCTCGGAATGGGAGATTTTTAAATGGGAAATTTTACTCGATAGCATAAAATTAATTTGTAATTTAAAAATTTAAACGTTTTTCAAATATAGCATAATTTTTACTTTTCTTACTATATTTAAATTTGACTTTAATTGAAATATCCTGTTTTTGTAAAATTTCAAATGTTATATTTGAAAATACATATTTATTTTATGGTACTTATCTCATTGCCTCGATTTTAAATTACTTGTAATCAAATTGGAGAAATATTTGTAATCAATGGATGGTTTTTTCTTTTTTCTAAATCTAAAAAAAAAAATACTCCTAAACTTTGTTGTTTGTTTAAAAAATACTCCTTACTTTTCAAATTTTTCAATATAACATGGACTTTTTATAAACCTTTCAAAAAATACCATTAAAGTAAATATGCGTCACTATTTTGAATGAAATGTTAATGTAGTAGAATCTAAAACTAAATGACAATTAATGAAAAGCTTATTTGCAATAAATTTAATATTTAACTGTACCAACAAATGAAAGTGTGACATGTAACTATGTTGGAAAATAAAAAATAAGAAAAAAAAGATGAAAATAACAAATAATCAAAATACGCCAATGTCCCTCCTAACGCACGCGCGCGCACATGTGGTACTTCGCACGAGTTTCTAGCGTTTTCTAGCTTCACGTGTCAGTTTCGTTTCTCGGCCATTCCAGTTTTTCATTCATTTTTTTTTTTTACCTTTTTTTGTTTCCTTATTTCTCCTTTAATTCCCACACCCTTCATTCCCAAAAAACGAAGATCTATTAATAAATTTAAATTCGATTCAAACTCTATTTTAAGAAATTTATTCTTCTTTTGTTTAGTCATATTCTTCCCCAAAAATACATATACTCCATTGCTAAAATTCTCTCCTAAGCCTCCCCCATTACAATCCTTTCCTAAGCTCGATTTTGATCTATTTTTCACGAGAGGGAAAATCATATTTTGAATGATTCGACTTTGTTTTAGTGCAAAAATTGTAATTTTACTCCTAGGAGGGTTAGTTTACTTCGTGGGAATTTATTTTACATTTTTGAGACCATTTTGTATTATGGTGTAGGAGCACCTAAGTATTGAGTGATTGATTTAGTCATGAACCAAAAGAATGATTTCTAATGGTTTAATCTTTAATTAGTGAAAATGATCGGTATAGGCGGGATCCTTGAACTTTCAAAAGGCTCCGTAGAGGGTGTTGATGCATAACTTAGGCCTATTGGAATATCAAATTTGTACCAATCTTCAATAGTAAAAGATATCTCACGAAATCTGTAAAATAGAAAAATTACACACAAGTGTGGTGTTAGACACACACTGCTTAAGTCAGAATCCAAATTTTATACTTAAGTTAGAATCTGATTATTCAATCTTCTCCTAAATATAAAGAAAATCATAAAAAACATCAAGATATCTTTTCCTAAATATAAGGGAGATCCTAAGGTTATGAGGATATCTTTTCCATTTGAATTGGTTTGATAAAATGAAATCATATTAGAGAAAATAGGGTTTTTCCTTCGCTAAACAAAGGTCCACACTCACAAATTAGAAGATAATGAGTTGGCATAAATCTATTGTTTGAATTGTCTCGAAAAAATGTGTCGCTTGCTAATCGGTCATTCATGGTCGGCTGTTCTTGGTTGATCATTCTTGGTTCGCGTTCATTGTCAGTCGTATTTGGTCAGCCAATTCCGGTCCGCCATTCTTCCTTCTCCATCATCTGTCCACCATTATTGGCTCGCCATTTTTGGTTTGACATTATTGGTCCATTATCCATTGTCAGTCATTATTGTCGGTCTTTTTGCTCGTTGATCTTGATTGGCCTTTTAGCTTACGGATCTTGATTGGCCTTATGACTCATTGATCTTGATCGACCTTATGACTCGTTTATCTTGATTAGTCTACTAGGTCATTGATCTTGATCGGCTTTATGGCTTCTTGACTCGTTTCATCTTGATTGGTCTTATGGTTCGTTGATTTTCACTCGATCTCCTGGCTCGTTGATCTTACTCGTCCTTCTAGCTCATTGATATTGATAAATTTTCTGGCTTGTTGATCTTGATTAACCTTCTAGTTTGTTGACTTTAATTTACTTTGCCTTTAACGATGACCTCTACTCTTTTGATGAAATTTTGTTGAGTTGAATGTAGTCACGTGGCAATCAATTTCTATCTTAAAAGTAGTAAGATTTTGTGCTAGGTCTAGTATGGAATCAACGATATGTTCAATTTGGTGGAATTTTTCGTAGTTAGAATGATGTCTCGTTTAATTCAACGTTTGGGTAGAGGTTAGAATGATGACTAATATCATAGATCCACTATGTAAAAGAAGTGCTGACGAAGAAATGCATATGCTTGGATTTTGCAATGTATGAGATCATTATTACCATTTGGGTAGAGGCGGTAATATTTAGACCTACCGATTTGTCCTAAGATAAAGACTCTATTAGTAAGTTAGTTTTTGCTCTATTTATTCAGGGAAGACCAAAAGAGCAAATTTATTAATCTCATTTATTGCAGAGAGATGAGAAGGAACTCGATGTTATGTTGTTTGACTATGTATGTCGAATTTGCTTGCCCACCTCTTATCGCCTTTAGAAGGAGGCAATTATCTTCGAAGTATATGTTTTCCTCTTTGAAGGAACCATATAAATAAGTCAACTTTTTAACTTGTTGATTTGCGGAGGAGAAAAAAAATTGACTATTCATTCTAAGTGACGGTAGATTGCAACGGTTGCTCTGATTGGTTCTCCTGAATCACTGCAGGTCTATAAAATTTTCTGGTCCTAGGTTGGACCGGTATGGTAACCCTAGAATGGTTGAATATGGTTTAATTAAAGTTTTTAGTACAGTGAATCCAATTTAAACAATTAGGTAAACTTTTTACAAATAAATAATTATAAAACAAAATTAATCAATAAATTAGAAATAACATTTCAAGCGCCATTAGCAATTAATTTCATGCAATTTATGATAATATAAAATTAATTGCAAAAATTAAATAGAAGAGAGTTAGAGAAAACAGCACCGAAATTTTATAATGGTTCAGCAACACCGACCTACTCCACCTCCGAAGTTGCTCTTTGATGTTCGATTAAGAAACTTGACTATTTTCACGGTAGGAGTCAAACCAGTACAAAACCTTCTTTTTTCAGAGCAAAAAGAAACCAGATCCTTTCCACGGTTAAGGATCAAACCATTACAATGCTCTTTTTTGAGCTGAAGAGTAACCCTTACAAGATTTGGAAATTTGACGAATAATGTTACAACAATCTCAAATGGTGGATGTACAAATTTACGCTAACAAATTTGTAAGAGAAATTCTTACAAATAAAAGCCCTCAAGTGACTAAGGAAGATCAAAATTATATGCTCGAGAATCTCTTAAGATAAAATCTGTCTCACAAAAAATTAGAACAAAAATTAAAGTTTTGAAGAGAGATGAACAATGGAGCTTGGGAGAGAAAAATGTTGTAAATAAATACGAGGGGGAAGAAGTTTGAAATTAGTTTGAAATCAAATTTAATTTGGATATATGGTAGAATAAGATGAACGGTTGAGATTAATTGAAAAAATTAATAATAATAATAATATATAAATTTAAAAAAATAATACAAATTACAGCACATGTCGCTTTCTCAATAGTCCACTCCAATGACTTAGCCGTTTTGTCATCCACTTTATGTATTTTTCCTTTGAGCTTGTTTTGTCAATAATTTCTTCATTTGAGCTCCAGTTTGGGTAATTCAAAGGACGTTGGAATCATTGTCTCGAGTTGTACGCTATGAACATTTCAAAACACTAAAATTATCAATAAACAATAAAATTAGGTTTGTTATAATCAAAACATTAATTAATTAAGTACTTTATTTATTTGAGATTAAGGACCAAGAGTCGACTGTCCTTATTATGTTTACTTGTTCAGCTTGATCTGCAAGACTCTAGCTGGACTAAGCGACTATTTGGTGTTGAATTTTGTGAGAATCTTTCTTAACTTAGTTCTCGTTCTTTGTTCTCAACCTCAGGCTCACTTTCAACTTCATATTTGTTCTCAGTCAGTATCTAGATTGTTTTCTCGGATCTGAGTTCATTCTTTGCCTCAGGTTCATTTCGGGCATTCGAGCTCGTTCTTGACATTGGTATTGTTCTCCCACTCTTGATTTTGTGGCTTTTAAATATGTAGTTGGTTCAATTGAGCTTTTAGGAGTTTGTTAACCATCTTGGCTTTTGCCTGCTTTCAGTTTTAATACTCTTGAAGTTCTTTAATTGACACGACTGGCTTTTAATCAAGTCTCTTAGATTTATTTACTAGCTGGATTCACTCACCTACTTTCAGTTTTACTACCCTTGGGTTTTAATTGGTTGGTTTCGTTCTTTTGCCTTTAGTTTTAATACCTTTGAATTTCATAAATCGGTTGGGCTCATTTGCCTATTTTTGGTTTTTTTCGTTTACTAATTGGTTTGACTTGTTTGACTGCTTTTGGTT